TCCGGTCGGGAAATTAATTATTCCACGTTTTCGCACGAAACGTTACCCAATGTTTTGCATAATATACATATAACCCGAGATATTTCTTCAAACCATGTTCATCTCAGGATTCTAGCAGCACTTTCCAAGTATAATAGAATGCAAGCTTTCGATATGTTCAAATCTTATGTTTTGAAGTATCCAGCTAAGTGTTGTTCTTTTGCATTATTTTTGTCACGAATGACAGAGGAAAGGCGAACCGGGATACGTAAATAGCTGACTGTCTTCGATGAAAATAAATTATAATACCTGTTTAACAAACTTTAACTTCCTATGAATCACACACAATATTCACGGTATTTGCTTCTAAACCCCATTTTACGTATCTTTTTACATGCCGTCTTAGCCAAATTCTCGTTACACAACATGATCAATTCTGAAGTTACTTGTTGAACAGTTATGATGTCATCGGTCGGAGATTTTAATTTAAGTGACAGATTCAGCATAACAAAATCAAAACATTTTATTTTTGTTAATATTTGCAAGTTTTCATTCATTTTCAGAAGTTAAATTATATCTCTATAAATAACAAACGTCTAAGGTTCTAAAATTGATGTCATCTCGCCTATTATGACGTCATATTGTATCACTGTTTTAGTCAAGTCAGATTATCTTAGTGCTTCCTTAACACACCTGCGTGAAAGTTGCGGGTCTTTCGTCGGAGATCATAAAAACCGAGGCCTCGTGTCATGACAGGTGTTGGTACGATAAGATAAGGGAAAGTGGTAAACGCAACACGCGAAAAATGGCGACGTTTGATGACGTTAGGACGCACCGGAGAGCAGTTCAGTTTGATTTAAATGTAGTAATGACGCCCCAAGAAACTTTAAAAGACAACAAAAGAAAAATATATGAAAATACCACTAGATCTTTAGTATACAAGTGAAATGCGAGTTTTCTATGCGGAAACTTTTTGATCAGGTCCCCGGGTAGAATAAAACATACGGACAAACAGCTACTGGCAGTAGCGAAAGACGCTGTCACTGTAGACCGTCGATATAAGATCGCCTATTTAGCTGAATAATAGTGAGAGTACTGTCCAAAACCTACTAATAAATCTTAAGAAGGCCCCATGTGTGCACGAGATTGGTTCCTCGACTGTAGGGAGAAATACAAGGAAACTCAAGTATGTGCATGAACGAAGTCCCCGAATTTAAGTGGGGCTTATCCAACTTTTTTTTTAGCAAAGATCGAGGAAACGTGACGCTGCTTTAGACACTTTGACGTTATAATCCGTGCGCCTTAAGGCGATACCACACATAACATAAAGTCTCATATTTTGTTTATTTGAGCATATATCTATTTGAAATTTGCTATGTATATTGACGAAAAATGTACTAAGAAGAAGTGAAAATTTTAGAACGCAGTGATAATTATTTTTTACTCTAGACAACTTGTTCACGATTTTACCGGACAACCCTCGTACATGATGAAACAATACAAACACACCTCACAACACAAGAAAAATCATATTCCTCGATGGTTTCGCCTTTGGGGAATGTGATTTTATAGGCTGAAAAATATCTTTATATTTCTTGCATATTCATGCATTTAAATGTTAATTATACTGAACCAGGCCAAACTTTTAAAATTCTAAAACTTTCAAATTCGTTTACTTTCAGTGAGAACAAGATCTCTGAATCTCTTTTCTAAATTTTTTAATTTACATTCTCCTTTTTGCAGGAAGAATATTAACTTCCAACTGGGAATGTGGAACCTACGTAGTACTAACGGCAAACACGGTGATTACTCTGTTAGGTCTTTTCGGCTTATAATACTCCGAAGGGTGGGACACAATGTTTCTTGCATGATACTCGACGTATAATTGTCTCAGTTAAGTGAGTGATTATATCGAACGACGCGCCTTGTAGAATTATTATAATGGGGTATATAAATATTGTTGTGTTACCCCTTTCCATGTGTGTTGCTAATGCTGACGGTAGTACGAATTTTTAAATGCATATAAACCGATCAGCTCTTAGTATTTTACATCAAAGTATAATTAATATAAACGTAGAATTAAAGGTCAAAACAAGAGACTTCATTCTGCTTTACATGTATACAAAACAGATCTGAAATAAGTTAAGTACATTATAAGAAGAAATTTGATCAAAAGAATACACTTCGGTGTTCAATGGGTATGATGCAACTTGGGATTCACTTTAATTTGTTTAATTATTCAAGCAATACATTGAAAAAAATGTCAAAATTAGTCCATGTTCCAACTTTATTTGGGAATCGTTTTTGTTGCCTGATTTTTGAAATGGATAAAGCTTCAACCTGATATGATGATTGGTAACATTATGAAAATTAGACGTCACGATCGATTCTGAACAAAGTTTAGATCGTGAATAAAATGTGTGGATAAGTTCATACAGAAATTTTCAAGTTGTTAACATTTAATATTTTGAATGTGCACTGATAGAGCTATATGTTTTAGACCTGTAGTGACAATATATCAAAATGTTATCTAATTATTGTAATGGTGTGTATATGTTTGCTTGTTGGTGTTATATGTATAGGACTATGGCTCGAAGAGTTTTCAATCAGGACCAAACAAATTTTTATCAGAAACTTACTCATAAAAATCCAACGTATCCAGATAAAAAAAGAAGACAGATATATTTTAATTTATTTCAAACAATTATTTTTTAACTACAGTGTATATAATACCTAAAATTAATAAGGTCCTTAAAAACGATAGGCAAGGACATTATTCTAACTCAGCATCGAGCTGAGAACAAGGTTTATGTAAAATTGAACACATTGTGGATTGTTATTCATCCCGACAGTAAGCACGAGAATTTCCAGTATACATGTATATATACATACATAATTAATTATGTTCATAGCACTTAACACCAATACTTAATTGCATGTATTGATATAAATGTCATCGGTTGTTGCTTTAAATAGAATATATATATCACTTACATTACATAATCTGGTTCTGCTCATATATACAATTTGAAATATACATAATAACGCACATGAAAAATGGATGCATACAAATATATACATGTATGAAAAACAATCAATGCATCAAATGTTTGGGATCTTAAATGTTTTGATTTCTTTTAATTTTTTTTATCTGTGTCGTCAGCTTATTTCAGTACAATGATCAATTTTAAAAATTTAAGTCAGCACTTGGAACAGCCATTAATATAAATGTGCAAATAATCCTAATCAGTTATCATGCATTATGTGTTGGAACTACTCATACCTCATTTCTTGATCAGTCAATCATCAAATCTCCAACGGAAAAAAAATTAACGATGACGGCAAAAATTCTACTTGTACATCAGCTTGCTGAAAAGACTACTGGCAGTTCCTCCTTATCACTGTCGTTGTTTTGTTAATGTAAACAGTGCAATTACAATTATACAAACTTATCAATATGAATATTCATTATTAAGAATGGTTTAGTTTAAGTTGTTTAAATTTAATATTTTTTGTAGAAATCTCGAGCCCGGTTTTTAAAGATGCCAACTAGTGCGCACGGACCAGGGTTAAAATGTCATAAACTTTGAAATAAAGTCTTCGGATTAAAATGATTTTTTCTCTTACAACACTCAGTCGGTAGAGCGCTCGCTCCGTGATCGGGAGGTCGTGAGTTCGAATCTCGGCCGCGACAGACCTAAGTCGATAAAAAATAGGTAGCAACTGTTCCTTCGCCATGCGCTCGGCACTTTGGAGTGAAAGTTGCGGGTCTTTCGGATGAGACCTTAAAAACCGAGGCCCCGTGTCACGGCAGGCGTTGGCACGATAAAGATCCCTCACTGCTCAATGGCCCTGAGTGCCGAGTAAAGGTCAAAATTTTAAGCCCTTCACCGGTATATGGTGACGTCTCTATATGAGTGAGAAATTCTCGAATGGGACGTAAAACAATATACAATCAATCCCTTACAACAAGACAAAGCTTATTAAAAACCGAATGTATTTTTAATAAAGCTGTCTTTCCTGATATCTTTAATATCGCTTATTGTACAGATAAAAAGAAATATGCTTCAAAAATTGGCAGAAAATGCAACGTCAGACTGGACCGTGCGACTTGCATGTGCAATCTATTAACACCTATATCATCCGTAAAATAGTGCGTTTTATTTTAATTTTTATACATTACTAAATCATGGTCTATATCAAAATAATATCTTACATAATTGGTAGTGTGGTCATTGAAAAGAAAATTACAGCATTTTCCTACGAACTTCATGGGCAACCCTCGTACATGTACATACATAAATATGTGAATGAATTTAATTTCGGCTAAACTTACCTCTCAACCTACAACTGTTTTTCTTTAAAGTAGCCACGTTTATGACCTAAATGAAGGTTCATAAGAAAAATGTTCACATAAAAAAAATGTTTGCGTTAGAAATGATGAACACTATTTACATGGATATTGTCATTTTAGCACGATATACATGTATATATATAGAAGCCCCCAGGGTATGTGGTTTTACATGATTTTATTTAATCCAACGAGTTGTATTATTTCATCCATGAGCCTTGGCGAGGCGATAAAATCACAAAACAAGATGGAAAAAATCATACCTTATGCCAAGTTCAAAATAATGTTTGTTTACCCTCTCCCGACTCAGGATGAAAAAATTGGGTCGGTAGGTAGGTGCAAAATTTTATTTCTCAGAAATTATCAACATCCATGCTGCATTTTTTACAATTCATTATCTGGAATGCATAAAAAAAAGAAATGCTTCCTGGAGGTTAAAAAAAGTTTTGAGTGGGGCCATTTTTAGCCCAGTGGGTCGGGAGAGGGCAACCAAAGATTTTTTTTAAAGATGGCCTTACATACCATGAGAGATTCTTTTCATCAAATGGTTTACACATATAGCAATTTCATGTTTAACACTGTTATATATAATGATATATATCCGATATATGTAAATCTACAATATTTGATAAAATTTAATCAAAAATCCTTAATTGTGACATCACAACCGTAGACATGAAAATTATATCCTTTGAGTTACATTCATTGTATAATGTTAAATTATATATGATAAAAAAGTTTATGCTAAGCTTTTAAAAAAAAATTATGAGTCTTTCAGATTATTGAAACATGAAGAATATACTTTTACCTTTGGATGAACAATCAAGTCCTCTCTGATTCCAGTGAGTAAATTTAAAAGGGGCTATCATTGATAAGACAAAAATTATATCCATAAAGCATATCTGAGATTGTATGAATATATTTCTTCCAGTTTAAAGCTAGCAAGATGTATTTCAACATCTCTAAAGCAAAATTCTGAAAATGTTTTATTTTAATCTAAAATAATTTCTTCCCTCTAAGTTGAAAATTCTTCAGAATCAAAATTTCAGTTCAATTCGCGGGTAATTAGGCAGATTTCTTGGAATGCCATTATAGATCTAAAATGTGCATCTACGTACGCTGTGACAAATTAAAATTATCATACGTCGGAAAAAGGTATGTCTATAGTAGTTTTTAATCTAGAACATTACTCCTTAATTGGAATGAAAAATAGGAGGAACTGACAAATATGTTACTTTTCAACCAGCATTTTACATAACACAACGATTCCTAGCGTTTTTTTTTTTTTGGTTTTTTTTTTTTTATAAATATGTGTTATTTTCCGACATTGATAATTTATTCGATGGAACTTTTGATACATCCTCAAGTATTACGTCTTTTTTTCTACACATCCATTTTAAGAAAATATACGAAAAGACTATATATCAAAAGAATAAAGACAAAAATACAAGCAGTAGCTATAATAAGGTAATGGGTACTGTTCTGCTCATCTGTATCCCCAGATTTTACGCTTGAATTTCTCCCACTGTCGTTTATGACTTCTGGTTTCACTGTATTTGTTTGTTTGTTTAGATCAGTTTCATTTATGCATTGTTTTCCACCGAATATAATAAGTGGCCCGCAGATGACCTTTTGCAAATCTTTTGAATTGTTTTTCAAGCTTCAAAAGGAATATTTATAGAAAAATAAGATGCTTTAAATCATTTTTTTTTTTAAATCAAAAGCTTTAAAAGATAAAAAATCAATATACATTACCAGGTAATGAATTGTCCATTCAAGATGAGAATTCCGAAGAGTAAGAAAATTTTCATAATAAGCGACGTACAGCAAGAGAAGTTGCAATAAAAAAATCCTAAAAATAGAAATAAATTAGCACTCAGTAGATATATTATTATCTATAAATATTTAAATCTAAAACGGGATGACGGATAATATTACAAATGTTAACGACATAAAATAAAATAAATATACACTGCAAAGCGGAGCATTTTCTCACAGAAGAGTATACATAGATCCCATTATAGATTATTAAATGTGAAACGTCACTTACGAACACATTCACCCCCCCCCCTCCCCCCGACACACACACATTTACACACAAACAAAACTTGCGAGAGGAAAGTAATAAAAAAAAAATCGGCTCAACGTATACATGTAACTATCTAATTCTGCTCACTTCTACTAATTTAAAACTGCTTGATGTTGAACAAAGGATAATTTGAAGTATTTCTCCTTGCTTTAATACGGTCAATAACTTTCAGTAGAACCTACTAAGTGATGACCCTATACAATAAATTCTGAAGATACGTAATGATGCTGAAAGTCCAATCAAACAGCACAAATTAACACGTACGGACCTCTGAAAAAAAAAAAGTGAGTATCTCCTATCCACCCGATAAAAGGCTCAAGGATACAACGTTCACCTGGATAACCATAACCATAAAGTTTTCTTCATTCCCGTGAAAAATTAACTTTCAACCCTCTTTTGGCCTCGTCTTATCACTCGGGCCATGATTTGGATTATTTAGAATAGTTATACACAAGGGAATAAAGTTATTTGGCTCGGTCGAAAACACAAAGAGGGCTCCAAAAGTCACGCCCTCTACCACGTTTTTTTTTTTTACTCTCGCCCGAATGTACTCAAAGAAAAACGTTTGGCAACTCTGATATGTTTTTATAGTAAGATTATTAAATACCCTATGAATCCAAATGCAAAAGATATTGAGAAAGATCAATTTTTGTTTAGAATTGTCCACATTTTTCCTGGTTGAGAGATTTAGCGTCATTCCTGAGTAGAATGTGCTATCTGAGCTATAGAGTTGATTTATGTAATAATTTTGTCATAATTCGACACCTTTTTTCGGGAGGGTGACGTTCTATAAATCTCCACCCTAAGAACAAGGATACCATGAATTATTCCTTAGATTGATTTTTTGTCGTCTGTTTTACATAAATACCTTGCAATGTAATTTAATTCGTTTATTTCATTTCTACTAGTATATTATCAGGAGTTTTCCTTATTTTATCATCCATGTATTTTAGAGAAATCGAGTAACATTTATTTTTTAAACTTTTACTAATTTCTTTTTTAAAAATATGTTAACTAATAAAATCAAGGTTTATTTTTTTATTTATTTATTTGGTTGTTTTGTGAGCTTAGTATTATAAGCCAGGAAAAAATGTTATATAACTTATCAAAACTCGATCGATGAGAAAACTATTTTAGAACTTGAGAAATCAAATTTTAAATAAATCAGTATTAGTTTTATTTCAATTAATTCCTCGTCAGTTTTTCAAGGTTAATATGCTTGTTTGAAGTAATGTTAAGTAAATAGGGCTCGTCTTAGCACATGTACCCGCCAGCTATATGCATCTGCTGTATTTTCCTTCTTAGCGTACTATGAAATGGATTTGAATGTCATTTTCTCGTATACCCAGTACTCAGTCGTAGAAATATGCACGGACAAATTGTGCTAAAGTGATGTCACTGTAATGTTTTTGTAAATGATAAAACGGTTAATTTTATAAATTTTACAAATACATTTTAGAGACAAACTGAATTTAAAAAAGAATTCCGTAGATTGACTCTAATACAAACTCACACACATCTAAATAAATATCTTTGACAACTCTGTCCACATTTATACTGACCTTAATAACTCAAGGATAAGAAAGGTGCATAATCATGATAATCAAGGGAAAGCCTGGTGACATTAATTTACGAGACTCACATTGGGCAGAGTTAAGAACACAATTTTAAGATCTAACTATAAAGTTGATATCATGTATAATATGTATAAGTATTTATGACATTCCGTTGATATCAAGAGATGTAAGAGATGTCAAGGATTAGAAATTTCTAACATGTGTAACAAGTAGACTTGTCAAACAGGATCCAAAATTAATGGAACAAATATATAGAAATAGATTCATAATTTGAAAATTAATAGTTTGTCATTTATAAACTCTCTCTCTCTCTCTCTCTCTCTCTCTCTCTCTCTCTCTCTCTAAACCCTGTATATAATCACAATGAAGCTTCAGAGACGCTAAAAAATATAATGATAAAGGGCAGCTATAAACTAAAACCTTTAGTTTTTTCTGCTTTTACATGTAAAATAGATATATCAGGAAAGTTTTGTGTGTGTTATTTGTGTGTTAATCTTACTAGCTAGCACATAGGAATATTTTTTCACAAAGCGCTAGCTAGCGTGTTTCATCAAATATATCTACATGAAAAGCCTGTGATTCAAACACAAATAACTAATATAAAACTTAAAAAACAATAAAATGAAGAAAAATATATGAATCACAGTGACACCAACATGTTGCACTTAATTTTCCTCAGCTTAAATGCCTTTCTTTTCTAAAAACTAACAAGATTAATTTAAATCACAAATACCTTTAAAAAGAATAAAAACTTTCCGCTGATCTCTCAATATAAAAGTATTTTTATCACGTTTACTTTTTTTTATAACAGGGCTTTAATTGGCTTCTAACTTGGGTGAGTATCATTATCGCTACATTATCAAAATTGTCATTACCGCTACATACTCATTACGGCTACATTTAAAACACTGTAAAATATATGTTTAAGGACAGGTGATACAAACAAATCTTGAATATAACAACTTAAATCATGTTTGTATGTGTAAAATGAATTAGTTTAACTGCATAGATTTTCATTTTTTATTCAAAGTTTCACAATAATGGGATTTATCTTGTCAAAAAGTTGTTTAGATTAATAGGGTTGAATGCAGAAAGGTGGAATTTTGAACATTAAAGAAAGTTTACAATTTTTTAAATATTTTAGAAATATATTATTTTCATCATTTTCACCATTTATACCAATCCAGGCATCCATTTTTTGTTTGTATCATCTGTCATTAATACGCTACATTGCCTCTTTCGTTAGCCAGCGGCTTATGCATGTACAGGTTAATGAGAAGTACAACATATATGTATACATGTACATGCATAAGACCTTTTCCCCCTGCTCACCACGGGGAGGTGAAGTAAGACTTTGAGCGGGATGTTTTTTTTCTTCAATTTTTTTTTAAATTTAGAATCGATTTTATTGAAAACAACATGTTAGAAAGTTTTAACTTCGAGCGTATTTCATGGATAAAACACACAGTCTTTGCATAATTCGTAGAGCTTTGAAGGCTATTTGACGTACTGCTGTCTGGAAATCTCTTGTAATAAATCATAATTAATATAACTTAATTTCAGTGACATTGCTGGCTGATTCGATACGTAGCGGTAATAGTTTGTAATCGGCAATTGTCTTATTGATAAAATGTAGTGGTAATAATCACCCGAAATTTTGAAGAAATGTAGCGGTAATGAGTTGAAATTTTCGCAATGAAGCGGTAATGTTGACCTTCCACTAATTTAGTCGCCATGGTGCCAAACATTTTATACAGTGGATATATAGCTCATACTAGGATGAAATATATGGCGATAACGAACAGTATTCAAGCTCAAAAGTCCATTAAACAATACAAAATAGGAGCAGAGCAAACACGGACCTCCAAAACATCAGAGTGGGATCAGGTGCCATGGAGGAGTGAGCATCCCCTGCCGACCGTTACACCCGCCGTGTGCTCCTTGTCATGATCGGGAAATAACGGGAAAACCCGTCGACAATACAGTGTGTAAATAATGGAATAACATTTAGTATGAAAACCGTCAGTCAGCATTTGACTCAATGATAAATTGTATTTGCTGACAAGGTCATTGTATCGACCATAGAACTTACGAAATAATGACTTTAAACGTGACTGCTAATTTTTTGTTTCATCAACTTGTTTGTCAATAATTTACCTCGTTTTAGAAATTGTACTTACGTAGGGCATGCTCTTGCGTATCGAATAAACTGAGAGATATAAACCCCGTATGCAGGTGATGAAGGTATATTGCTGCATAAGTAAGGGAAGTCGACGATTGAAAAGTTAGTCATCACGTTTATCATAAAGCTTGGTTGTTAGATTACCATTAACGTCTTTTCAAGTAAAATATCCAGATATGAAACAGATGTGTCATACTCTGTGGTATCTTTTATCTAAAGCTCACCAGGATATATCGTATCGAAATAAGAATGGAAATAACCATTGTTTATTGACAATACGTCGTCGATTTATCTAAATGTCGATTTGAAGGCCACAGCAAGTGTGTTCTTCTTTTCACATATAAGATTTTGGACAAATTATGCTTCGCATGAATACAAAAAATGTCTGCTAATAACGGGGCGCAGTTGGTACCCATGGGAATTCCAATAGATTGTTGGAAGACCTGGTCTCCAAAAACCACATAGATTTTGTCAATTTGAAACTCAAGCATCTTTTTAATGTCAACTTCAGAGTACTTGTGTGTACAATCAGAATGATTTTTAACAAGATAATTTTGCAAATGACCAACGACAAGGTGAGTAAATTTACGAGTTCCATTTTTATTAAAAAAGCAGCTGATAATGATATCAAAAAGCCTGGACTTTAATTTATCGGGGGGAATGGTTGTGTATAAAGTTGAAAAGTCATAAAATTTTAAGCTGTTGATTTTGGTAAAATCTTGTGATTTCTAATTTTCCAAAAGTTCCTTGGAATTTTTAAGTATCCACATCTGATTTACACCACTTCTCGAATATACTGTTGCACAGTACTCTTGAAGTTTCTCCTTCACTACTCTTATCTTAGTGAGGAGTGAAGAAAGTGGTTTGGTAGAACATTTACTGAAACCCGCTATGTATCTTTGTTTGTAAGGATTTTTATGAAGCTTCGGAATCCAATATAGATATGGTAATTCAAATTCATTTTGGTTGTTTGGAATATTAAAAATATTCAAAACTGACATATG